CTTTTTTTTCCCCCCCCCCCCTCACTTCTCTTTATTTATTTCTATTTGTAGCTCTTCCCCTGCCATGAAGATCTTGGTGGAAAAGTGCTGCTTGGTTTTAAGGAGACTCTGGAGTGTGTTCCCCATGGAAAAACCCACTGCTGATGGATTATCTGGGAAGATGCTGTTGCAAAATCATCCCTCACTCTTTTTTTTTTTTTCTTTTTTTTTCTTCCCCCCCTTTTTCTTTTTTTGGTCTCTAGATCTCTCACGGTCAGGTGTCTCTTTCATTCATCAGGTCAGTCTAACATTTGTTCTCTGTTGCCATTTCAGTTGTTAATAGAGGTTGGTAAAAACTGGATTCTGGGCTTCTGTGGGATGTTCTACTGTGGGGAGGTAAAATCATGTTACTGCTCAATGATCCCTTGCTTGTAGCTGTATGGATCATGGGAACAACTTGCCTTTTTTTTTCAGTCTTTCTGTAATTAGTAATTTCATGCTGTTTCCCTGCCATGAAGATCTTGGTGGAAAAGTGCTGCTTGGTTTTAGGGAGACTCTGGAGTGTGTTCCCTATGGAAAAACCCATTGATGATGGATTATTTGGGGAGATGCTGTTGCAAAATCATCCCTCACTCTTTTTTTTTCTTTTTTTGTCTTTTTTTTCCCCATTTTTCAGGTCAAAAACACGTCCGTGTCACCAGCCTCCTCATCTGCCAAGGTTCGCTCTGGGTGGGCACTGACCAAGGCATCATCGTGCTGCTGCCTGTGCCCCGTTTGGAGGGTATCCCCAAAATCACTGGTGAGCACCTAAAAAAAACCCCTACTTATGTGTTTGCAACTTTATTTTTGGGGCTTGTTTTTAGCAAAACTCCTGTTTTTTGGGTTTTTTTTTTTCTTTCATTTGACAGGAAAAGGCATGGTGTCCCTCAACGGGCACGCTGGCCCCGTAGAGTTTTTGGCGGTGGCGTTGAGCACCCTGGCACCTGATGTGCTAAAGGGTGACCAAGAGGAGGAAGAAGAGGCTGAGGAAGAGAAACCACCTGAACTGGATGGTCCCCCACCTCGGGAAATAAGAAAAAAAGGGATTTTATTACAATATCGCCTTCGATCCACGTCCCATCTCCCCGGGCAGCTGCTGTCGGTACGGGAAGCGCCGGTTGGCGGCACGCCGGCGCACACCGAGGAGGATGGTTCCATCTACGAGATGGCTGATGACCCTGACATCTGGGTACGGAGTCGCCCTTGTACCCGTGACACCCCACGCAAGGAGATCTCCTCGGTGGCCATCGTTTCGGGTGGTCGGGGTTATCGTAACTTCAACTCGGAATCGACGCGGCGGGGCAGCGATGCCGACAGCACCTTGCTTATCTGGCAGGTCCCACTGATGCTATAGCACCCCCGGGACCCTCCCCA